ACAGATGCAAGTGAAGATATGACTCGATTTCAAATTCAACTTTTGGGGTGATTCCTTGAAACATGCAACTATCAAGTTCAATAAACAAAATTTCAAAAAATTTAGACCTGCTTATACTTTTTAATCACAGTGTTTGCAGAGTTGGTTTTTGATTCATCTCCAGCATTCATGGCATTGCACATTTCTTGCTTGTACGACATGTACCTGTTGTTCCACAAATTTAAGGCCTCTGGTATCTTGACATTGAAGACGGGCAGTTTCCATATGTCTACATATCACAAAAGCACTCATAGGAAGTAAGTCAACTTTTGGCTCAAATATACAGATAATGTTCGACTCTTGTGGCCAAATGGAATATGTTCTAACATCTGTGATACTAGTGGTAAAATGTTCAAGAACAATAACTATGGGAAATTTGAAGCCAATATTACAACTAGAAAAAAACCACTGTTTTTAACAGAACCCGTGATACAATAAACTTGAAATTAAATGTTAGACCTCAAAAATCGACTTCCTCTCTCTTTTCCGCTTTTTTGGAAAAGAAAACTAACGCCTGAAAGAAATTTTCAGGCGGAGATGGAAGGACAAAATAACTAGATTGAATTAGAATCAATACTGAAAATAAGAAAGTTTTGCTTTTGTTTTAACAGAATCCATTACTTATGGATTCTTAAATTGTTTGACCTCAAAAATCAATCAAAATCTCTTTTTCCTGGAAGCGAAATGAATGCTTTAGAAAAATTTCTAAAGGTGGCATGGAAGGATGCAATTTGTTGCTCAAACAATTTGTATCTCGATGAAGTCAGGTATAGTATAATATAGATAACATGATAATTCCTCATAATAGGGAGGTCCGAACGAGGATGACAAAAAGGTTGAGAAGGTGAGAATAGATATCAACCATCAAATGAGATGATCCAAGGGATGTGATTAAAAAAGGTGGTGACAACCTTTTTCTAAAGAAAAAAATATTCCCTCACCCCTATTCTTAATTGAGAATATGCGAAATATAACAAAATCGGAGCCAAAAAACGAGCACTTTATTCTCTTTATAATTGTCATCCATATTGTTATACTTCTTCATCCGGCTTTTCRTCATTTTCATTTAAACCAGCCCCTTCCTCCTTAGCCAAATATACATGCAGAACTGACACGGGCTTACCTTGTTTTACAGCATTACAAGATGGATACTCTATTGCGGCATCATAGATTTTTCCTAGAACAGAAGTCGAATCATATGACTTCTCATGTTTCTTTTCCAGAAAATGGGGATATTTTTTTAGCAATAAACATTTAGGAATTTCAACCTGTTTCAGAAATGCAAGAGAAACAATGTGAGAAGAGTATCTTGAAATTTTGTTGCAGTATGTAAGGAAAGAAAAACTGTCTTCTATCCTGGTAAAAATTGAACATGATAGTCAATTGTTTGAATAAAGAAGAAACCGTCCAAACAAAGCAATCAATGAAAACAACCTACATTAAAGTCATGACCATAAAAACATAGTAATAGCACAGTATTGTTGGTTAACAGAAGAGCAAACAAAAAAGTCATGATACTGTAAATTTAGAAAAGAGATCCAGGATGGCACCTAACCTTTTTCCCACTCTTGGGTGCATCAAGAGCATCGTAGTACAAGTCAACCAACTTCAACAGTTTTTCTTTAATCCSATGCTTCTCATCAGCAYAATTTTCTCCCAAGGTCAGATAGWGATCCATAAATGTTTGCCAGSTATCAGCTGCTWTACCAGCTACCATACTGAAATAGTAAACACTAACAACAATGCAGTAGCTTTACCAATAAAAAATAACAATGCAGTAGTTTGTTCAACATTCAAGACCAGCTTAACAGCAACGGCAGTTCTCCCAACTCAAATACCAATTTGATGTTAGCAGAAATGATCGGGATTCACCAGAAATTGCACAATAACATCTTCCCATCATTGTATTGGGGCCAAGCTGGTTGTCCCAATAGTCATTACATAATAAAATTAGGTATTTAGCTTGTTATGGATGAATTATAATAGGTAGAAAGTGAGGGAACATACCCCTGCTTTTGTGTAGCAAAAAGTTGAGTAAAAAGCTCATTCTCCAACTCCTCGTACGAGAGCTCACTAGGTTTCTTGTTAGGCGCACTTGGTGTTGAGTGAATCCTTTCCCACGGCTCACTTGCTTTGAAGTAATTCAACAGCTGGCAGTGTACATGACAGCTTTAAAAAACATTATAGTGCAGGAAAATCAACACCCTTCGTTTTTCATTGATTAATCATTTTAGGGTATAAATCTAAATTGCTCGCGACAAAGAATCAAAAGAAAGCATAAATTAATGCAAAGTGAGACAACTGACCAAGTAAATAGAACCCCACACAATAATTGTTAGAAAGTGCCCTGAATACAAGCACCATCCTTGTAAAAGAGGAAATCTAAAGGCTAGGCCTAGGGGCTCCTCCCATAGGTCGCCAGTTCGTGTCTCCTCCTCAGGGCTAAGGAGAATTTTCCTGGTTATCTTCTGAGCCCCTTGAGATTAGTCAAGGAGCGTGCAAGCAGGCCCAGACACCCATAGTTACCAAAAAGAGGAAAAAGAAATCTAATAAGAAACATAAAATGCCTACCTGTGGGCTTCTAGATACCCAATACAGATCTCCATCGAAATCACCATTTGCAATTTCGTTTGCCACCGATCTCCTGCCCTTGGTGGAGAAAAAAATTCCATATTTAGCATTTCCAACAAACCCTTCCAATTCCTCTACATATTTTGCAGTTAGGATGTGTATGTCCCCAAAATGAAGGCCTGGATTCCTGTACACTAGAACCTTTCCTGATATCTGGCCATTTTCACTGCATAGCCAGTAAGAAAATGAATCGTAAGTACCAATTCTACGCAATATCAGATTCCATACTAATACCTAAGTGCATATATAACAGATGTCATTGAAGCAACACGCAAATTTCGAACCAAATCATTAGTTTATTGTTAGCACGGTTACCCTATCCTGCTTGGACATTATCATAACCAACTGAAATGAAGTAGAAACAAATGCATACAGAATAATGCAAACTTCATGACTGTTCAAGGTTCCTGTAGGATCAGCTGTTCCGATTAGATAGAAGCTTTCATTGACCGGAATCTTTCCACTACGAAGCCCCTTCCGCTCTTCCTTTGCTAAGACAGACAAACGATATTGAAGGTATGGTTCATCAA